AAAAAAAAAAAAAAAAAAAAAGACAATCTTTAGCCCAATTAATTTAAAAATGAGTTTTGCAAATCTTCTAATAACAAATAATTCTCACCCCCCAAATCTCTCAGGGAACAGAAAGCAAATTCTACAACTAATATTAAGAATACTAAGAAGCCAGGTAATCTTGATACTATCAACAGTCAAGGACAGTAAGAAGAAAAACAGCAGTTCAGTCTCATTCCTGGACATACATAGACAAAAGAGTATCAGCAAATGGATTTCCAGTTTCAGAAACTAGGGCTTGGATCACCATCATCGGAAAACAGCAGCAATCCCATTAAGAGCAATCCCATGCCACCTCCTCAACTACTGGACTCAGAGTGCAGACAGCAGGAATGGAGAAAGGACCAACAAGAGGAAAGCTACTGTTTACCCACAAGCCCAGATCTATTCTGGTTTGGCCTGTGCATTTCTTATGAGGCTCTAACTTCATATAAGATGCTAACAAATGTTTTGTGAGTATACTGCGTTAGCCTGCTTTCCACTGCTCTGTAAATAGCTAAGAAAATCAGCAGAAAGGAAGAAAGATGTCTTTCGGCTCATGGTTTCAGAGTTCTTAGTCCATGGTCAGCTGGTTCCACGGGTGCGGGAGGAGAAACATCAGGGCAGCAGGAGTCTGTACTCAGAGCAGAGCTGCTCCCTCATGACAGCCAATAAGCAGACACAGGGGCAGAGGGGAGGGACCGGGCACTGGACAGACACAGCTCTCAAGTTCAGGTTTCTATGACTTGTTCCCTTCAGTGAGCCCCACCTCCTCAGTTTCTGTCACCTCCCCATAATGCCTTAAACTATGAATGTATCAATGGGTTGGTGCACTGAGAAAGCTATGGGCTTGGTGACCCAGTCATGTCCTACAGCCTCAGCTCTGAACACTGTCACACTGGGGATCAAGCCTGCATCCTGAGAGTCTTTGGAGCACATTTCCTATTCAAAATCTAACACACTTATGTAAAAATGAGATTACAGCTATTCTAGGTGGGAAGAAACACACTGTCTAATGCTGGATTCTTTTTTCTATACTACTTTCCTGCCATGGGCAGAGAACCATGATATGAGAGTTAAGTTTTAGTTTTTTTGTTTTGTTTTGTTTCTTTAGACAGGGTCTTGCTAATAGTTCAGGCTGATCTTGGGCTCACTGGCCTTGGGCCCAGCTGGCCTGGAACTTGTGGCAATTCTCGAACTCAAAACGATCCTCCTGCCTCAGCCTCCCGAGTGCTGGGATTACAGGTGTGTGCCATCATACCCAGTTTAAGAGTTTAAGTTTGTCTGGTGTGAAATGATAAGAATTCAGGAGGGCACATGTACCAGAAAATCTGCTCCCACTCTCTGACAAAGGAGGCAAGTTGGACACCAGGAAAGAGAGAACTGGAGAGAGAAGAGGAAGTAAGTAAGGAGCAGTCTAGTTTCTGTTTATCTAAAGTGTGTCTCAAATCTAAGAATGGAGGGTTTTATAACAAGTTCAGGGTGAAGAGAGAGGAAGGGAATAAGAGAACAGGGCCGGCTTGTACCTTGCCTAAACTCTCTAAATCCCTGGCAGATCATGGGCATGAGGAAGAGAGGGCAGAAGCAGCAGTGTATGCACATAATCTCCCATCTGTGCAACCCACTGCGGTGTGGGGATCTCCGGGGTTTTCTATGGGCTTGGGAAGTGGGATGGGTCAGAGATCAGCTAGCCTGAGAGCCCAGCGGGCAGACCAAGGGGTGACTCAGAAGGACGACCATGGAGTGCCTCCTCATTGCAGGTGAACATGTTGCATCATCACGGCGTTGGCCAGGTAAGGATCTGTCCCTGAGGGTATGCCACAGCTGTGCACCACGTGTATCAAGAGAAATGAAAACGATGACATGTGCCAAGCATGCCACAGTGGGAGGAAGGGCTGGTCCCCACCGCTGTCTGCACTGCTCTATGTTCACTCTTCCTGGACACTGAGCCAACTCAGCAGGGATGGAAAGTGAGCTTGGAAGTGCAGCTGTGAGGTGGTCTGGGACTGAATGTAAATCATGAGTCCACCAAGAAATTCTTGGCTTCCCTCGATGGAGTCATTGTTTCCTTGATGGACTAAGCTGATGTTTTTCCTCTACTGAACACAACGGAGTATTCTGGACCAAGGATCATCAGTGAATGAAATGATCATTTTAGCATACACAAGTGTGTGACTGCACAGTTAACTCCCCTAACACACCATACTGCAGTGCCCTGCATGAAAATGCTGTATGTCATCACATATGTCACACAGCATTAATACCTGCGTAAGGAGAGACAGAATCAGATTGGGTGCATTCAGGATAGTATGGCCACAGACTGGAGAGACAGAATCTATGGTGTTTCAAGTTAGTTGATTAAATAAGGAAACATAGGAAGTAGTTATTAAACCGGGTGGGGTGGTGCATGCCTGTAATCTCAGCACTCAGGAGGCTGAGGCAGGAGGATTGTTTCGAGTTCTAGACCAGTCTGGCTACAAACTGAGCTCAAGGCCAGCCTGAACTACATAGTGAGATCCTGTCTCAAAAGGACAAAAAAAAAAAAAAAAAGAAAGAAAGAAAGAAAGAAAGAAAAAGAAAGTAGGTATTAATACTTCATTATCCTAAATATTTCAATATCAACATAAAGTCTGCGAAGAACAAACTGATGAATGTGATTGTCACCCTCTTATTTAATAGCAAATGAATTTGAACTGAAACTGAACATTCTTATAAATGGTCACTGAACAATAGGATAAGTCCCATAAGGACAAAGTAAATCTTAAGGGTAGAAGCAAATGCTGCAAAACTAAGGGAAAGACATTCAGTTTGGTTTCAGTAGTTAAAGTGAAATTAAGTGCACATTTAAGTTTTGTTTCATCTCATTTCTGCATTCTCTCCTAATAGCTATATGAGGAAGGTAAGGCAGATATTAATATGCAAATTTTATAGAACACAAAATAATTAGCAGATATGTGCAATGCAAGCAGGAGTGCAAAACAGACCATTTTAGCACAAGGAGAAGAGATTTTCTTCCCCTCTGAGGTTATTTCTGATATCCTGTAGGTTCCAGGTAAGCTAACCAACTAATTATTTCAGTGTGATGTGTACAGCAATGTATAGAATTTTGTACACCAAAAGAGATAGTATATGCTCATGAAATACAAGGCAGAGGTGGGGCATTACCATAACATAATGTCACATGCAAACTGCAAACTGTGTTGACCTACATCAGACCAGCACCAAATCCATTGTGCCTTGGATGACGCTTAATTATCAAGAGAAACGTGAAAGGAATTTTCACCCAGTGATAACGAAGAGAGAATCTGGGAGGAAATCATGGCAGGAAATAAGTGAATAGAATATAGATATTTAAAGTCAACACGCTAGGGCAAGGGAAAAAGTAAGCATTTTCTTTACCCACCACTGCTATTAGCCCTTTCAGAATTTCACTTTCATTCTTAAAAAGTTACCATTTTACAGTCACCATTAAAAAAAAAGACAAAGAGGATACATGAAGGAAAATTAAATGATTATGTGAGTAAAAAACATAGCTGAGAGATTAATTCTGTTTTCTTTGCCAAAGAAAAAGGATAGAAAATCCACTATATAAAGTAATTTTAAGAGGACAATGTAGACCAGTTACATATCTTCATGTACAAACAGTTCCATGGAGGTTTAATGAGACTAGATATCTCTATCCTTTTGAGCACTTAAAGTTGCAACATTCAGATAGGGAACAAAGTCTTGGATTCATTTTTTTCTTTTAAGTAAGTGACCTTGATTACTCTTCTATTTTAGGCCAATCATCTTGCATTCATATGAAGGTATATCAGACCAGCATGTGTAAACATCATATTATTTCCCTAGTGTAAGCAACTGAAAGAGTGAATAAAATCTGAAAGGTACAAGACATATTGTAAGAGGGAAAGAAACTGCTCAAAAGGAAAGAACAATTTTGAGGAAAGAAAGGAGAAAAGAAAGAAAAAAGGAAGGAAAAAATATATATACACACAAGATAGCTAAGATAATTGTACTACTAAATTCTACTGGTTTATTGAAAGGAACAGTTAATGCCTAATTGTTTGATCCATTTTGCATACCTATATCTGGTAATCTGAATAACTACTTTGAAGATAACAATATGCAATTTAACAATCATTGTTATTTCCTATCATCTTGTTTTGAAAATCTGTATTTTAAAATTCTCTCTACAATAAAAAAGTATATGTGGGCACTTAACATTGATTAATATGTAAAGAAAGGGATCCTAACTTCCTTAAAAGATTAATATGGCATTTTTTTATGTATCACCACATCTTACCTGCTCCTGAGAATCATGAATCTCTTCTCCCAGTTTTTGCTTATTCGTTCTGATTCCTTTCTAAATCTGGAATAAATTTACATATGGTTAAATATTGCACTGGCTATCACTACACAATTATAAATCATTATTCCCAGTACCTTTCAAACTTCTGTTTCACATTCTCTAACTCAGCTTTTAATGCTTCTATTTGTGCTTTCAAAGCTTCTTTGTCTTCCTCCTTTCAGTAAAAATATATCACACAGTTTATTACATCAGCAATATACAGTGTTCCTCCCTAAATTTGAAAGGCTATTCCTATTAAATAACAGGTGAGAGATTAATCAGAAGCAATTTGAAAGAACCACGAATTAGATTGACTTGTAAATTCCTAGAAATCAGAAGAATTTAAGATCCCCATTCCTCTATGTCCTGTAAATGACTAAAGCCCCTCTAGGACATATTACAAAGCAATCGAACTTTGTCTGTGTCAGCTCCCCCACAAGGCACCCCTTTTTGGAAATCTTTTCTTTTCCTTCTTCCTCTATGGAATCCTCTTCATCTTTTCTTCAAAGGCAGCAGCTGCCCCTATTTGCTATTTCTAGCAAAACACTCCTCAGGAAAGGACCTGATCAATTTAATCACATTGGAGCCTTTTCTCAGTACAGTGATATTTTCTCAGTGCTACTTATATTTTGTAGGAGGACAAAGGTTTTGGCAGAAGATGAATCTGCAACAGTGGTACTGCAGAGGCGCATGAATGAGACGTTTTTTGGGAGGCCGTGACAGAGAAGTACTACAGAATCATATGAAAGGCAATCGTGTCCACTATATATTCATAAGTCTTATTCCAGAGTCATTACTACTTCCTAAGAAGAGTCAGAATCCATATAAATAAGAACTAGTTTAGTAGTAATGGTCATAGTAGTCATTAACATACCTTAGGGACTGTTGCTTCTACCTTCTTTTCTTCATGTACTGCAGTTGGTGTCTTAGATCTAAACTGATGCGACAATAAAACAAGGTAAATGCAACATTTCAAGTTAATGCACAAGGATATGGTTTTTCTGTAATTCTCAGAAAGGAAATTAAAGCTGAAAAAATGCCAAATTCCAGTCTTTACTGCCCTATGTAACCAACCAAACATACCAAATAACCAATGAAGCAGGCAGTTATTATCCAATGAAGATGCAAGCTTAAAAACCTTATTTTAAAATGATGATTACAATGAATTTTCACTACTGTTGCTGTCCAGTAGAGGGGACAACAGAGTACTCGGAAATGATAAAATATATTAGATCTAAATATCATGGTTCTTGGGCTGGGAATATAGCTCAGCGGCACAAGTGCCTGCCTGGCAAGTGTAAGGTCCTGAGTTTGATTCCTGGTACCAAAAAAATCAACCAACCAACCAATCAATCAATCAATCATGGTCTGGGCTGCAGATGTAGTTCAGTGGTAGAGCACTTGCCTAGCGTGTGAGGGTGTAGGTTTGATCCCCACAAGTATATTTAATCTGCTGGACCTTGGTACATCATGCTTACTGCTTACCATGCAAGAGATCTTGGCTTGGACAGCGTACAAGAAAAAAATCTTGATTTACAATTTCTATATTTCTATACAATAGAAAAGTTGCTGCTTGTTACCAGCCCTACCTTTTCCTTCACATGGGTTCCTTCATCCAAAAGGTCCTTTGTTTTGTCACTCTTGGAGGACTTCTGTCTGTCAGTGGAGGTGGTCTCAAGTCTAGCCTTGGAGCTGATGTGAGAGGGACCTGAACTGTCCTGCAGCACAAAGAGCGAGACTTAGAGTTCCCCGAGCAATCAAAAGTGAAAATGAAGGTGGGGAATGACCCAGGCAAAACCACGAGGCAGGAAGTGCTCGAGTCTGCTGGGCTGCTGGTGACCAATGCCCAAGGTGGTGTCCCAGTGTTCCACTTGAAATGGCACCTTGGTGATATAAACTTTGCCTTTCGCTTACTTTCTTTAATCTCCTCAGGCTTACACAGACAAAGTATGATAGGTTCAGGAGGTGTTAACAGAAATTGCAGAAACAGACTGAACTCAGTACTTGATTAAAGGAAGTGCAGATTGGGATAGCAAACAGAGCACACTGAGATTTAGAAACTGAGTTAACTCAGCTGCGAGAGGAGACCAGACCCAACAGTGGCCACAAGAAAGTCCTTGCAGAGGTCACGGGACACACACAAGGGTACCACAAAGTGCCGAATGTGCCTTAGAACCCACTTTCCGTATATCTGAAGGAATATAACAAGGCAGGGAGAAAGAATCCAGCTCACACCAGCTGCCACATATACACATAACAAAAACTGTAATAACAACCCCATAAGCTACACTTTATTTAGTGCCTATTATGTACCAGACTCTTGATATATATCATCATTTATCTCCATAGACAGACCTGTTTGCTTCTTTATTCATGTCACTTTGGATTTTCAATGACTGAAAATGCACGCACTTGTGCACTTCAGGTAGGGACGTGAACATGAAACTCTCCTTTCCCAGGAGCTAAGAGTTTTATTCTTTCTTTTGTTTTGTGGTGCTGGGGATGGAACTCAGGGCCTTGTTATGGGAAGCATGTGTTCTACCACTGAGCCATACCCTCAGCACTTCTGCTTTTCTCATGGTTATTATTATTATAAGTAATAGCCTTTATTACAAAATTGGAGTCTCCTACAGTAAAGATTAGGAACTTGGGCATTCACCTTACCTTTACCCCCTCTCTCTCTTGCATATGCCCTACTATTCCCGTTACTATCTATCTATCTGTCTATCTATCTATCTACCTATCATCTACATATCTATCATGTATGTATCTAGCTATCATCTATCTATTTATCTATTTATTTGCAGTGCTGGAGATCTAACACAAGGCTGTATTTATGGTAGACAAGGGCTCTACCACTGATCTATGCCCAAGTTTTTCAAGTTTTTTATTTACATATGTCTACATTTTATTGTGGTTATTTTCACTGTGACTTCAATATTGCAATTTTTTTTTGTATCGATGTGTGTCTCCACACTGAGAAATTTACTTTTTTAAAACATGGTTCACTTCCTTGTCCTCTCTTTTTCAGAAGGAACGTTATACTTTTACATTGTTGCCCTAGATAGTTTTGTTCTCTAACTACAATTTAGTCCTCCATGCTTTTTCAGTCAGTCTCCTCATTGAAATCTAACAAGTAGCATTTACAATGCGCTCATGCTACTGCAGGACCAAGGAGAGTGACGGATGCTGCAGAAGGGAATGTAAACCTGCTACTGAAACTTTGCTGTTAAAACCAAACTCTTCCAAGGGACAAAATGTCAACTTTCAATGTTCCTAGTTTCCTTCACTTCTGAGGAATTCTCTTCTCTTTTTTGTGCCTACATCTCCTTGCATGTCTGGTTCCTTTTATGTTTGGCTTTGCCATGAATGTTAAACTTTTTGAGTTGTTCAACTCCAAAAATATCTTTATTTTGCTTATACACTCAGTTAAGATTTTGGCTGGGTATAAGACTTGGGGATTCAAACTATGCATTATTTTTTTTCAAAACTTTGCACAATTTTCTTGCAGCAACCAGTGTTGCTAATGAGAAAATTGGTGCAAGTCTCATTTATTAGGTTCCATTGTGATTGAAATGCTTCTTCTTTTTCTTTCATTTTATTTTTTCTTTTGTCTTCTCCTCCTCCCCCTTCCTCCCCTCCCCTCCCCCTCTCCC